GGAATTTGTGTTTTCGTTGTGAAGGCAGTGACCTGGTGACGAACTTAAGTCTTCCTCCCTTCGTTCTGGCTCAGCCACACATTTCACATTCCTGAGGAAAATCATGTTTTCAAATGTCCCTGCAGCTATTCCAATTTTTGATTCCCAGATTATGACTCTGTGAAACATCTCTAGAAGGTAAAAATCAGAAACCAGGTAAACCATCCCGAATCAAAAATACATCCTCATTGCTTGCTAAGAGGCAATCTTGCAATAATATCATAAATTAAGGGGTGGAAATGATTGGAAGGAAGAGTTCATAACAAATGAAAGTTAGAAATGCTTATTTTTTAGGGATTCTAAACTGCAAAAGTACTTGACATTTAGTAAAAATTTTTTTTTCATTACTAAATATTGGGTTGTCAGAAAAGTCAGGACGTATTTTTTTCTATGTTTTTCGTTGCAAAAATGCATCATGACTTTTCCGAGAACCCACTATTATATTAATGTCATAACACTACGAACAGATTTTTGTACCTGGGGAACACTTCCCTGTACATTCAGGTCATTGTGTAAAACTTTAAGCCTCAAACATGTAGAGCGTGTGTACCTGTGCCCTTTCTTTCCTTCTGCTTTGTGGTTTTCATATATGTGCTCCTCCAAACCAAAATTTCATGGTATTCAGACCCATGATACCGATCACCTTAGGTGGTAATCACATATGTAAAATAGTGTTAACTTATATTTGTAGAGAAATTCCTTTTTACCACGCACCATTGTAGGCATTACGCCACTGGGTTGTCATAAGGCTGTGAGGGAGGCAGCACAATCAATTCTCCAGTTCTTTATAATCATTTGAAAGGAACTGTCTCATTGGATCACTAGCCCAAAGCCAACGTTGGCACATTGATTCGAAGTTCAGTGTCTTCTGCCTGTGCCACAGAGCGTCTCTAACGATGACACCGAGGAATGAGATCCGTGGTTACCTGAACAATGAGAACAGTCGTTGTGAGGATGCAGGGTCCCTGCTTTCCTTTGGATTGCATATGAGACTGGGCTTGAAGGGCACGCTCATTGTTCTTAGTTAACTTCCTTTATTTCATCTAATAGTTCCTCAAACTAAACAGGTACCACATGGAGGCAATAGAAAAGAGCAATGATTGCCAGTTTATCTCCTGCACTGTATAATTTTTAAAGGTGTTATTGTAGAAGATCCTAAAATACAATAGTAAATATATGTTTTTAATGTGGCAGAATTATAATTTTTCAAAACTAAATTATACTTTTCTTGGTATGTGATTTTTTTTTGGGGGGGGGGATTGTGTTCATCATTAAGCTATTTTTTTTTTCTACTCTGAAAAGCTGTTTTACCACAAGTCCAGTTCTTTTTAAAGTCTATCCACAGGGAAGTCATAATCCCCTAGTTAAATAGAAGTCGGTTACCATGGAAATCATTCTAAGGCCACTGAATCAATATTTTGATTTTGCTGACATTTAATGTGAAAAGGAAAGACAGGCTAAGATTTTAAAAAGTCATTTTTCATCTTTGTTATAATTTTGATAGCTAGAAAAATTTTAAAGAAAACCATATGCTCTGTAATGAACTCCAGTTAATTCACGATCATAAAGAACTGAGCATCTATAAAAGAACAATCTACATATTTATATAATTTTGGCTTTGAGTGCACACATATGAATGCATGTATTTGGACTCAAGACTTTTTCCCCATCTCTGAATTGAGCCAGGATTCTCCCCTGTTGTTGCAGTTATAACTTGGTAGAAGAGATTTGAATGTATCCAGTTTTGCAATTGCCTTTTGATTAAGTGCTCTGAAGAGAAGGTGAAATCTGCTTTGAGAATCACTCTTCTGTAAAAGTTGACCGTTTCTGCACCAGATCCTAATAGTCCATTTGGTCCACTGACCATCCCCAAAGATACACTATAGCTGAAGGCTCCCCCATCCTTAGAGCTCCTTTGGGGGAACGTTGTTGAAACTGGACCTAGTGTGCAGTACATCTCACCGCCCATCAAGTAGCTTTCCAAGTCTAACTGGAGTCTTTGCTGCTGCTGTAATTGTGTCACTGTCTCCTCTTTTATCCTCAGAAGAAGTAAAGTTAACAGAGCTGCTATCTTCTGTTTGATAACCAGCTATTTGGAAACCTACACCTTTGGATGATGAAGGGATCAGAATGAATTATGAGCTTCATTACCTCAGGAATAAGCTACCTCGAGCATCCCAAATGAATGGGAATCAGTTCTATTTTTAAGACAATTGAATCGCCATGCAAATGTTTCTTCTATGGGGCCAACATCATAGCTTTGTGTTTGCATCCACTGTGAACACCCCAGGTGCCCCTCCCCCGGGGCTACTGTGAGGCATCACACATTTGGTAATTACACATTTGGAGTATTTGACACAGCGTCCAGGAAATTTTCCAGCATCATTCCACTGCTTGATAACACACTCCTTACTGGCTGTTTTCCTTGTCTATTTCATCTCTCCCCTCCCTATCGGATGGCTTTTTATTCCTTTTAATTATTGTATCATTCTAGATTGCTTTCAGGCCCCCTTCATTCAGAGACCACTGTTCTAAATCACTAACCTCCTTTAGCAAACAGTCTAATATAATTGATTATGTAGTTTTCTGGCAGTAAAAACAAGAGAGGGGTGACTTCTGGAAACAGGACTACAGAAAATAAAGAGAAATGAAAGGCATTGTGTATCAGTATCAAAAAAAGCTAAGGACAATATTTAAAATGTTCAAAAGGCAGATCTCTAGGGCCCTTTTATGTATTAACAAGTCAACAAAACACCTAAATTGTTTCTAAAAGCATCAATGTGTTACAAGTTGAAGGACATACTGATGACCTTGAATCATGAGAAAAAAAGAATCAAATTTCTAATCTACTCTAAGGCAGCAGCAAAACAAACAAATAAACAAACACATAATTATGTAAATAGATAGACACATATTCATTGCAGTACTATTCATTGTCGCAAACCAAACTGGGACCAAATTAAGGATTCAAGAAGATAATGATTAAGTAAAGTTCTATGATGTACACTTCTCTCCTTGAAAATGGTGTTTCTTAGCAAATTGAACACCACAGAAAATAGTCACAATAGAATAAGTGAAAATACAAAACACACAACTCTATGCACTATGATTTGAATTTTGTAAATATGCATACACATACATGTTATTTATATTTGTACTATTGCACACACACACACACACACACACACATATACCCATGATGTATTTTTGCATACATGTGTAGTAGGAAAAACTGAGCGTGAGTGGAGATTTATCATGTAGAAGGGATGGATTAGTGGCATCTCCAGGCACTTGTTTGTATTCTTCAGTATGCACAGAGGCTTTTGTTTTTTGGCTAAACAGGCACTTGGGCACAAATACAGGGAAAAAGGAGAACTGAGGGGAATGGAAGATATGGGACAAGCCTCATGGGCGTCTCAACCCATGGACTAGGATTAAACTTCTGTGGAAAGACGAGACCAGGTCAGGGAGCTTTCGTGAGGGTCTGGAGAGCCCGGCCGACAAAAAAACCTGCCCAGGTAAGGAAAGGTCCACCTGGCTTCCACTCTGCTGCAAACCACTGTGAAATGCTGTAGACTGGGGTCCAGGGGAGCCTGCTGTGGAGAGTGCTTGGGACAAGCAGAGTGAGGGAAAGGCTCCCCACAGCCTGGTACGGCCATGCTCTCGAGCTGGCAATGGTGGCACGGGGAATCTTAAAGCATTTTCCACAACTAACATGCAAAAATCTAAAGGGGCTCAGTCAGGTCAAAGCACACTTGAGGCTGCTCTCCTACCAAGGGGCTCTCAGGAAAAACTCAAGAAAGCTGAAACTTACGTCTTCAAGTAAGGACTAAAGAGCTGATGACATCTCAGGTTAACATGACCTAATTTGTATTCAGAGAGCAGCAAAGAGGCTGAGATAGATTTGATCTGTGTATTTCATAGCTGAGGGAAAATATGGGTAGAAATTAAAGACAGAGATTAAAGTAGAGACTGAAATACATATACACACAGATATACAGATATATCTATCTATATATAGATATATCTATATATCTAATCTATATCTATATCTATATCTATATCTAATCTATATCTATATCTATATCTATATATATAGATATCAGAGGTACCAAAAAATAGATATACATATTTTAAGAGATGTTATCTATGTATTACTTTTCAAAGTTGAATTGACCTTGACACTTTTGATAAATACTGACTAGTCATTTTGTAGAATATAATGATTTGAGTTATCAGTATATATTGAGTATTACAATCTTAATATAGTTTTTTCATTTTTTAAAATGTGTATACATTTTTTGTCTCTCTCTCTATATATATATATTTTTTTTCTTTTTTTCCCCCACCAAAAGGAGGTACACCAAAATGTAAAAAAACTTGTGATTTTTTAAGTGATTATAATTTTTTCTTCTTTATGTTTTCCTGTATTACAAGGTTCCCCTAATAATCACATAATATTTCTATTATTATATAAAATAATACTTATAAAAGCAAGAAACTATAAGTTTTAGATATCTTTCTAGGCAACATAATTCCCTAATGATTTGAAGCTTTGAAGGGGTAAGAAAACACCCATTGTCTTTCCTTTCTGGTGAATTAAATACATTTTTCTGGGTATCTTTTGGCCACATGCCAATAAACAGCCTTCCCTTCAGCTGGACTCCTCCATTCCTCTTTTCTGGGACCTCAGAGACACAGATGCAGGGTTATGTGAACCAAGGTGAAAGGCAGCTGCGCGCTAATACCGTGTTGACTGGGCCGGCTGAGTGGCTCAGTTGGTTAAGAGCTCACTTAACTGAGCAACAGGGTCGCGGGTTCAATGCCCGAGCTGAGCTGCCACTGAGCTGCCCACAGGCGACAGGGTGGCTCAGCTTAAAAAAAACCAAACAAACAAAGAAAACAAATATCGTGTTGACTGAACTATTTTTTCTAGGCGAACTGGGCATGGGGTGTTTTACCTTCAGTCCTCTCTGGGGCTTTCCCGCCCTTACTGGTGGTGGCTGTACTGTTGACGGTCTCTGACGATGTGCTCAGCTTGGTACTAGGGTCCCTCTTGGGCTTGGGGGGTGGTTGTCTCCGGGAGCCACAGCTGCTGTCGTCATCGGTGCCCCCAACCGAGTGCAGAGACTGTGACCTCACGGAAAAGCCGCTGGAGCAAGGATGGGGAAGTCTGTCCTGAGGTGCAGGCATCGTCATGAACCCCATGCGGAAATGTTTGCCCACGTAACTTCCTTCGTGGCTTCTCCCTACTTCTCCACCTATGCTGTAAAAGAAAGCAGACCGAACCCCATGGAGATCAATTGAGCCAGGAAATGCAAGGCCGGGGACAGAACCACATGGATAATACCTGGATAGTTCCAACTTTAACTTGACACAGTTGAAGAAACATTTCCATGGAAGTGAAAACATTCTATATGTTTACACTAAATAGCACAGCAGATAGAACTTGATTATAATCAGGAATCCTAACACCTAGTTCCAGCTATCTTGGTATCCTGGTCTCCAGATGCTCTCAAAATGGTATTCCAAATCGAAAAGATGCGGACTAGCACAATTCATCTTTAATCATTTTCCTTTACTTTGAGGTCAATCTTAAAAAGTGGTTTAAACAAGGAAACAAGAATTCCATGACAATAAGCCACCCTTGTGGCCCATGATGGAGGCCAACGGGCAGCACTTAAGACTCCTTCCCCAGTTCATGGAAACTATCCCCACCTTTCCCTGGTTTCTATAGTGAGAAGAACAGAACAAACAACAACAACAAAAGGAGGTCCTGTTACTAAATACAAAGGGAAGAGAGAGAGAGAAAGGGAGGAGGAAGTAAAGAAAAAGAGAATGGTAGGGGAGGGAGAAAGAGAGAGAGGGAGGGAGGGAAGAAGGAAGGGAGGGAGAAAGAGAAAATGCTTGTTTTAATCAGTGAAGGAATTGTCAGCCTCTTTCAGTGTTCCAGAATCCTTCAGATACACTAAAAGCGTATTCTCCTAATAAGCTAGCCTCACAGAACAGAAGAGCGGCATCTGATAAAGAGGTGGGGTTAAAATAGCATCTGATCCTGGGACAGTTCTAAAGACCTCATAAATATTCAGAGCATGCAAAGCTCCCAAATGTAAGGTTCTTAAGTTTAAGTTTTACATAAGAAAGTTTGAACAAAAATGTAAAAACATAAGAAATGTCTCTCAGTTTGAAGCTCAACTAATCATATAGGAAATAACTCTTGGGCCTTTCTCTATGCCACTAAGTAAAGCTACTCTTTTATGAAGAAAAATGACATGAATGTCAATGTGAATTTTTAAAAGAGGCATTTTCCTAGAGTTTATCTCTATTCTCCATTTATGTCTATTTGTCAATTAAGGAAACACAAAGAGACATTATTAGAAATACATGAATGATTTTCTTAGGCATGTAAAAATGGTTAAAAGTATCTTCAAATATATGAATTTTGGAAACCTATTGATTGAATCTACCTTTCCAGATATAAGTTTACTTAGGCTTTATTATTATTATTATTATTAACCTTAATTTTAGCTGACTCTGCCTTTATAACTTGATGAGATTCAAGGTAAGATTTTGCATTACGCTTTATTATATCTTTCATGTCATTATTATGTTTGTCATAAATTTATCATCTCAGTAGGAACAATAATGGAGAATGAGGCTCCTTTCTGTCTTCAACTGAGAACTTCTGACAATTATATGACCATTGTGGACTGAGCCAGAAAGGATTCAAAAAGAGCATGAGACTGATTCTGGCATGTAATTCCAATGACAACTTGCCCCTCAATTTAAAATATTTTTTATATCGAATTCATTTGTTTTCTTAATACTTTGAGTCGATAACTCCAACAGTAGATATACCATCTTTGCAAAACAAAATAACGGTGTCTGGAAGCTCCAAGCACTGATTAGAGCAACGGATACCCAGAAGCATGAGTGAAATCCAAGAGACAGATAAATGGATGTTTTCACATCATAGTGGTAAGCTTCCTGTCTGTGCGTTGTTTTCATGAATGTTTGTGCTTTCAAGAGCATCCATCAAAACAAACAAACAAACAAACAAACAAACAAACAAACAAACAAACTAGGAGCTTACTCAAGTAGAATGGTTTGTGAAAAATCATTAGGAATTTAAGGGAGCATAGAGGTATAGAGGTGGGGGATGGGTGTGAAATGGGGACGCTTCTCTTTGAATTGTGATGACTGTGGCCTTGACCTTTCTCATAGAAGACATTTGATTTAACTTTGACATCAGTCATTTTGCATCCTCATGTCTTTTCCTTATTTCTGTTGTCATATCACTGAGCAAAAGGTGCTTTAAGGATATACTTAGGCAGCCATCTCATTCCCAGTAACATGGTCACATGAGAGGATTAATGTGTGTGTTAATGCACACAACAATTTATGAGACACTGATTCGGAATAATTGCATCAGCAATTTCTCTGTTACTTTTAACCTAAATAGGGCCTGCACCTTTTCCCTAACAGATAATTAGTCCTGCTGTTTCACTTCAAAATTACATTGTCTCAGCATAAAACAATTTCATCTCACCCTCCATGCTTTTGTTCATATATATACGTGTACACACGCACACACACACTAACACACTAACACTTCTTCCATAGAGTAATTCAGTGTATGCTTCAAGCAATAGCAGGTCTCAGATGCAAATTTAAATTGACCAGGCTGTGAAGACATGATGAAGACATGGGGCTAAGAGAAGCTGGATACAAAACCATTGTCTAACGCAAGGCTAAGGGTAAGCAATAAAGGTTACGGCACATCTAGATTTAAGAGACCAGTAAAGACAATTAGTCAAAAGTAAATTGAAGAATGTGGAACATAGCATACAACCAATTCCTGAATTTGCTATAGGAGTACATGGAGTTTTTAAAATGCACAGACTCCTGGTCCCATGCTAAGGGCAAGTACTGAATTGTATCAGTTGAATCAGAACCTCTGATTCTGTAGACAGTGAGTTTGTGGTTTTAAAACTATATCCAGATGTTTCTAATGTCTCCAATCCAGAGACCCCCAAGAATCATTAAGAACAGAAGTTAGATCCAATAGTGAGCAGATATCTGTTAGGAAGAAACAGCCAAGGGACCCAAACACCAGAAAGTGGCATGAAGGAGACATACCAGAGGCCAGATAAACTATCACAGAAAAGAAAAGGCACAATGTATGAGCTTGTGTTACGTTATGCTGCAGTAACAAGCCATCACCAGTTCTGACAGATCTACAACAACAGAGATTTAATTCTTATTTGTATTAATTGGGTTGGTTGTGCATCAGCTGCAGCTCTGCTCTACATGTCTTCTTTAATCTAGGATCTAGCTCCTACTGGGATATGTTCTCATTGCAGAGAAAGAAAAAGATTCACTGAACTGCATAGCGTCTCTTAAAGCTTTTGCTTAGATGTGGCATATAAACTTTCACTCACATTCCATTGGCTAAAACCGGTCTCATGGCCATGCGTGATATCAATGGGGTGGGGGTGGGGGGATGATAAGTTTTCCTCCAACTGGAAACCACTGCAAGTTACATGACAATATATGGGGATGCATAATCCTCTTACAGGCAGGGGACCAAATATTGGTACAGAAGCTGTGGTATATGCCACTGGGGCCTCCCTTTAAGAGAGAACTTGCCATGAGGAATGAAGTTAGCTGACAACCAACGATCCACTGTGGAAATTTGTACTTCCTGTCCCCATAATTCTTAGCTCTATAGGGTTAGAAGTCCTTGTCCACAAATGAGACGCACTCTTTCTAGAAGACACAGCAAGGGTCCCGTTGAACAAGCTGTAGCTGCCTGCTGGGCAATATGAACTTCCTTCATAGAGTGGCCAGCGGGCTACTAGATGAGTCTCCACTGTGGAAGAGATCATGGACCCCTTTCAGAATGAGGAGACAGGGCTGTTGTCACACAAAGGGGCAGAGATAAATATGTGTGCAACCCATTTTGATACTCTTTTGCCCAATTGTGACTTTGAAAGGTCACATGCAGCAACCCTGGCCCGAGAAGGTTTTGGTTACTAGGGGTTCCAACCTCTTATGAAAGAGGGATTAGTCTAACCAGCAAGTAAGCCACTGAGACCAGTACAGGTGCTGGTGGAAATGAGGTGACTTTAGAACAAATGATGGAGGGAGATAATGAGCATCAGCCACAGCCCCCATAGAAATGGCAGTGATGAGGGCTATAGTTTATCACACTAACAGCTCCCTGTAAGCTTCCCCTCAGGAAGAGTCCCTAAGGAACTATGAAAGAGTTCTTTCCCAAACCTGTAAGAGAAGAGCATCTACTGAGCTTAAGAGGTGAACTGCGGCAGCCATCAAGGTGTGTGGCTCAGATCTCCAGCAGGAGAGAAACATCTCTAAGGACAGAAGTTAGCTGACAGCCACCAGCTAGAGTCTTCTAGTTGGGTGCAGCATTTCAGCCAAGGCACTCTGCCCCTGGAAAGCTTCTAGCCAACTGCTGAACATGTTGAGGTATGGGACTTGGTTATTTCTGCCCAGTGTGGGAGTCCTGAATGGGCAGTCTTTGTATCTGAGTTCCCCTGTTGGGCTGGCTGAGACTTTCCCATAGCTATACCATGGTCGGCTCTGCGGCTCTTCCTGTCCAATCGTTTCTCCAGTCCCCTCTCCTTTCATAGCTGTCAAGCCTGCGTCTTGGCTTCAGGCTTGTCCTGCCCCCTCGCTGTCCCAGACATCGTCCTCAACAGATCTCACACTTTTGACCCCACGTAGCTTGGTGTCTGCTTTCTAGAGGGCATGAATTGACATACTTGGGAACAATCACACAATCTATGGTGTTCAGAAACCAAAGAAGAGGGAAGAGAAAGCCTAAAAACAAAGGGACCCCAGGAAGAAGAAATGCCTGTGGAAATAGGACATGTTCTTGCTTCAAACTGAGCATTTAATTTGGAGAGGGAGGAACTGGCTCCACTGGAGGAACACTTGGCTTGAAATGAAAGTTATGTGGGCTGAAGAAAGCAGAGTCTTTTTGCAAGAAGACTCTAGCACTCAAGATAGATTAAGCCTGACACATCTCATGTTATAAAAATAAAAATAAGTTACATAATTCTGAATTTAAACAAGTACATTTTTTTTCTCAGACAATGTAGGCAATGTTGTGAGATCTAGTTGTGTTGGTTAGTTTTTCTAGCATAAAACATACATACACACAAAATAATGTATTGCTTAAATCAAGGCAGGCTGTTTTCCCAGAAATAATTGATAAACTATTTGCAAATTTCTCCTCAAAAC